TTGTTGTTCCGGGTCTGGGTGTTATGTGTATGTGAACTACGCACGCTAAACACACCCACGATACAGGAAAAAGTCCTAATGTGACGCACGTTTTTAAAAAACACGAAATAAAAAAAATATTAAAATACGCACTCACTCACTTACGTTACGCAAGTAGGTTTTTTTATGATTTACTTTAATGCTACATTAATTCTCCACGAACTCTTGGTCCGTGCCCTTGTTATACATTTTTTTTACTATACATCTAATAAATATTTATAAAGTACTTATGGAATTACGCAAGTAGGTTCAAGTTCCTATCTATCTACATTCTACGTGTAAATCGTAGGTACAAGATCAAAGTATTTTTGGGATAAGGTGCAGGCGAGATACGTAAGTACACTGGAATACCTACACTACAATTTGTCTCATATATTACTTAAACCTGTGCAATCCAAAAACACAAAAACTACACCATTACAGCGAATTCTACAACCAGTATAAAAACTGACTTAAAACTGTTATTAAAATAATTTGTATGTAAGTATATTTTATAATAATTTCTGCTAGCGGCTTCGCCTGCGTCTTCGTTTAATAAAAAGTAGCATATGTGTTATTCCGACCCATAATCTACACCTATTTCAAATATCATCGCGTTCCCTTCAGCCGATTGTATGTGAAGGCGTAACAAACAAACATACAAGCTTTCGCATATATAATCTTAGTAGGATAATATCATACCTATATCTTTTATTTCATAAAAGGAATGCAAATAAAAAAAATACTTTACTTACCCCTGGAATCAAAACTGGACCCTCTATTACGGTGAGCGCTTGCGTCTAATAGACCCGTTGGTCAATCGCGTTCGAATAAAGCTATTCCTAAATTAGGATGTATAGGTAATCTCAGGATTCTCATGATTCGCACAAATCTCTTCAAACCTAAAAGGTCTAAAAATAGGGAAAACTCTACGTCATATTGATCATATTAATTTATACGCTTCATTGTAGCTGGGAAAGCAGAATGGCACAACCTAAACATTCATGTTCTAAACATTTTTTTTAAGGGGGCAAATCATTGAATGTCTCCTCTCGCCTGGGTGAGGCGGGAAAGAGTGTCAGACTCTTACTGACTAAAAACCACCCCGTTCCTTCTCCTGCACGTCGAGCCGGAGCCCCGGTTAGGTTCTCCGTGACATGTCCTAAACATTATAGTCACGTACTTACCTAATGAGATATAAGTACATATTAAAAAAAACCATAATACCTATTACCAGTAATTAGTACTGCACTCAATTACAAGTCAAGAGACGGAACACAACCTGTAGAGACAGGCAGTCCATGCACCAAGTTAGAAGACACGATCTTCAGCAATAAGTAATGCAACGAAAAAGGTTTAATATCATAAAGAACATATTTTCCCTTAAAGTTGTAGGTAGTTTAAGCCCTAAAACGCATGTCTCATAAAACTATAAAGAACTTATATATAACTCGGTAATTCCAATAAATAACACCTCGTATGATTCAAGACAAGACAAACTTGTAGTCATCAAAATCCAGTATGTCCTTTATAAATTCATCCTTTGTTTAAATATGAAGTTAAGGATTGGAATGTCCGGCGTCCGCTATTCCTGGGTCAGGAATAGGAAGTGCGCTGCTGTCAGTGGGCGGTAAGATACGAAGTGTCGGCGCCTTTGTAGATGCTCTCAAAATGCCCTCAATAAGCATCGGTTTACTTAACATTTAGCGCATTCACATTCCTCCTACCGCGCATGCCCCATTGCAGGACTCTAGGGTTGACGCTGAAAAAATGATTCAAAGCAAAAATATTCCGACGAATTTAGGACATCCGTCTTTTGTTTATAAAGTTAGATATACGCCTTCGACTTTTTATGCTGTTTTTGACTGTTTTTCTCTGCAATTTTTTTGCAAATAACATAATAACATAACCCAATATAACCGGTGATCCTGGTGAAAAATACCATTAGAGAAAAATAGACGTAACAACTTAGTTATTTATATCTGTTGCATTACCATTTCGCACAAGTGCTGACCAGGTTTTTTATGTTATGGTTTTGTACAGCGCCATTCAGGTATAACTTCAAGGACAATTGTTTTACAATCGGCTTAAGCCCACCCATCCCTTGTCCGTGCCAAATGGTCTGTCGTGAGCTGTCCGGGAGATTTAAAGTTTTTAGTAATTGCGGAGTCCGAATGTTTAAGCTGTTACTAACAGTACAATATTCAAAAACAATGTAGTTACATTTTTTTGGTTTAGAGATTATTTGTATAATACGATTTTTTCCGTTGGCAAGGTGTACCATTTTTAGCTGGGTAATGTTTTTGACGGAAACCTAATGACTAAACACAATGATTGCATTGTTTAATCTTGACATCTAAAAAGATAATAACTAACAATTTTACTTTGCTATAATCGGTTAAAAAAGTATCCGAATAGACCACACAGCACAACCCTGTAGGCCCAATAATTCTCAATATTGACAGTAATATTAAGACAGTATTATGGGTCTAATTTAAAAGTACCTACGCGTTTATCTAACGTACACACTTCCGTTAGAAAATTAAGTGACAGAATGTTCCCTTTCATGTTCGTGTAAGTACGGATTGTTTTACGTCAGAACTCGGAAAATACATACGTAGGTATGTACTTACTTACATACATAAATACTTACCAATAACTCAGCAGAAATAGTTATTGTACTCGAAATGGCTGGGAACTGAAGACTGCATAGCGAATCCTTCTTCTGTCTCCAGTATTCTGGATGGCGGAAATTATTGAAGGACTTGTAAGATAATTCGGTCCGACCATCGTGTTGGAGAGTACCCTCTGATTTTTTTTCCAATGATCAAGAGTTTCTTTAAACTTTCAATCTCTCGACGAGCCATATGACCAAAGTAAGACAGTACCTGTTCTTTGGAATAAAGGATGTAAACAAAGGCTTGTAGGAAAATAATGTACCTTAAACATATCTCTAAACCTGCATTTGGTAAATGCTGCATTTTGTCATAAATCTAGTTCATACTAGGAGCTAAAGTTAGCCAATTTCTAAAAAAAAGGAATTACAAACTTCCTTCTAAATAAGTAAATCATATAAAAGATAATAAGTGTGAAAAGCTAATAGGTATGTATGTCTTCTAACATGCGAATGTAAGTACAAGAAAACTTAATAAATTGACATGAAATGTAAAAATTAAAATACTGGATGTTGACTCTAATAAACTGTTAACGGAACTAACTCTGTTATTATCTAATAGGTAATCTTTTAACACTAACATTCCTAATATTTCAGTAAAAAAATCTAAGAAACGATTACACTACATAATCATGCCCCTTAATTACAACTTAGGCACAATAGACGCTTCAAAAGCCGTCGGCGGACGAAGCTTCGTAGTGTTCGTACGTAAAGCCTACACTTCGAAAACAAAGCAATCTACGCATTTGTAAAACGTGGCTATTAATTTACCGCGACTAATCGCAATTATTCAAATAAATCGCGCGTCTTTGTTGTTTCATTGAAGATCAGGAAAAAGATACAACATAGGTGTAGATTAACATGAATTTATTTAGTTCATCAAATGTGTTCCGTGATAGTGCTTCGTAAATTCTAACAAATCATGTGTTCACAAACGATTTTCAAACATCAAACTTGAATACAACAAGCACATATGACAATTATTCATGTATCATGTTACAAACTCTTTGTACAAATACAAATGGAAATGAATATTGTTAGCACCACAATATTATACATAAATATTACCAGAAAATATAAGAACAAAACAATCACGTTACTTTTCTCACTGGGCATTGCATTAAGACGCAAATATTATGATATTTAAATAATTCCGTACTTGGCATTTTCCAATCAACTCATCGTATAACATAATAGTGATCCAGTACTTATTATGTATACTAAAAATGCCATCTTATCAACATATTATTATTGTTTCTTCTCCTAAACAAATAGTGATTTTTGTAAACAATGTCATTTGTGAATTTAGTGATAATTATTTACTGTGTATGCTATAGAAATTGGAATAAGAATAAATTATTCTAAAATGTAAGCTATTATTTACAGAACATTTAATACTAGCAATAATCTCATTGAACATAAAAATGTTACACCTACTTCTCAAGGCCACAAATGCGAAGATAAATAATCAATTTCATGCCATACAATAGCACATTTCACTGCATACGTGAAGTCTTATGAGATTCGCAATGAATGTAAAATTATTCAACTCAATCAAAATATATAAACATCACCTATCGTTATCAATTACGAAACAATGGTATAAACAATTAAATCATTACATAATTAAGTATATTTATTTATTATTAAATTTTGCAAACAAATCTACACAATCTTTGCTCCAACACCTACACAAACTACTTAATTTAAATCTCTGAAAGGCACTTGCAGCATTGAGAAATAAATAAACCGCTTAAAAACAATCAATGTAATAATACTTAACCGTAATAATAATATAAAAATATAGTTATTCTATATTTACATTCAAGTGACGAAATTCAATACATTACATTAATCCGTACCGTTTTAAAGGAAAGGTACTGAAATTGCTATAAGGCGTGAACACTTAGATAACTACAATTAAGTCTAAAACCAAAAAGTCCCACATTCTTGATGTACTGACTGTTTCAATAACGGTTGAAGTTGTGAGAACATGCTCTGGGCATGTGGCAAGTATCTCATTAAAGAAAAAGCCTTTACTCCAGGAAGTTGCTTAAGTGTCTCCGCTTACAGCTTTAAAGTACTACAGTGTAGCACGAAGGAGTATTAAAAGTTTATTCTTCATCTGGAATTCCGACGCTAATATTCCACATGATTGCACTGAATATATCACACATGTATATTGTGAATGCACTCGGTCGCCTTGTCGGGGCATTGTTCAGTGTGCAAGGAGCGACGGTGTGAGGGACACCGCTTAATGTCACTACGCGAAGTTGTCACTGTGTGCGCAGTAGTGTTGCTGATGAGGTCACAGCAACGGTACGGGGGGCACGCCCGGCACCAGCGGCTCGGGCACGCCCTGCAACACCCCCTGGTGGTAATGGTGGTGGTGCATCATACCATTCATCATCTGCTGATGGTGTAACATCGTTGCATGGTGCAACTGTGCGTGCTGCAACGACGCGTGGTCCCCCTTCTCTTTCATCACAACTTCTTCGCGTTTTTTTACCTGTTTGCGCTCCTTGGCGCGTCGGTTTTGGAACCAGATTTTTACCTAAAACAAAAATTATTTTTTAAATAAAAAAAATACAGTAAATTTTCCCTTTCTCGACATTTTTATCTGTGGTTCTTGTCTTTATTATTTTATTTGCGTTTCCTTGATGGGAGTAAAACTATCATTAACGTACCTATTACTAACACCTTCTACGTGTTTTGGCTTCGAGTAACAAAATATTCTTTCTTTTTTAAGGCATCATCCTTTTACAAAAATGTTAATGATAATAAATAACATAGTTACCTGTCTCTCAGAGAGTCCTAAGCTGACGGCCAGTTCAGCTTTGCGCCTTATTGTGATATAACGGCTATAGTGGAACTCCTTCTCCAGTTCAAGCCTTTGATGGTCACTGTACACCACGCGGTATTTGTCTTTCGTGCGTGTTTTACCTGCAACAATGTCATCTTCTATTAAATATTATATAGATTTCACCTCAGACTTCTCTTATTGCAATAACTTAAACATAAACTTTGATACATTATATAAAATCCGTGATGTAAATGCTTAATAAACCTAATAAATATCCAAAAAACATTGTGCATTAATCTTGTAAGTGGCCGTTATCCTAACCACAACTTTAGTGGAACATAATTCCTCGATTTACTCCATGAAAAGTCTTTTATATTCTCGTAACGAGGCACGCAGCCGCGGAACGTAATGTTAGGGAGAGTTGTGAGGGAACAAATCCCGAGGGCTCGATAAGGTAAATCCAGGCGGTGCGATCAAGGGACGCCGCGCGCTCGCGGCTTAACGTGGATCAAGTCGGGACCACACCTTGCGACCGCTGAGGCGCTGACATACCCACACCCCAAACACTGCGTGAGATGTTCCTAAACCATACTGATTCTTTACAGTACATGTTTTTCTTATGTAGGTATGTTGTTTGGAATGTTTTTGCGTGGTTTTCGGTATTTAAATGGTCACATATTTGATTTATTTGCATTGCTAGGTTTAACTAGGCAAAACGTTCCCCTAAATGTGTGGTTAGTTTATTTTGAAAAGGCATTTCAGAATAAAATCCTATCATATAATGGACTGTAGTATAATTAATGATTCTCTTATTCAACAAACGCAAGATTGTATATTATCAATTGAAATGTTAATGTTTTAGTAATGATAAAATGTGACAAGGAATTGCAAGACATTAGTCAGGCATGCAATTCATTTCATATTTGTATAAGACCATAGCAAATATTGCCAAAGATAAATGTACTAATGAAATAAGGAACTAAATATATGGTAATTTATAATACAATTAATATTGTAAGAGATGAATATTTTGTATTTTTAATTCTGCTTCACAAAACTTTAGCAAAAGTTGCGTAACAATCACAAGGCCGCATAGTATCTTTGTGTGTTTTAGTACATTTTTTTTTTTTTTTTTTTTTAAGGGGGGAAAATCATCGAATGACTGCTCCCGCCTGGGTGAGGCGGAAGGGAGTGTCAGACTCTTACTGACTAAAAACCACCCCGTTCCTTCTCCTGCACGTCGAGCCGGAGCCCCGGTTACCCGTTAGGTTCTCCGCGACTCCGAATCGGCATCGGCCCTATTGGGCCCCATCTGTGGTGGTCTGATGGCTCTTTGAGGCGCGCGCGGAACGCGACGCGCCGTACGCTCGGGTCTGTTTCTGGTCGGACGGGGAGCCACCCATGCTCGCCGTCCGCAAGCCCGCGCTTACGGTGGCCGGAGATCGTCCCGCGATCCCCGACGCCCGGTGTGTCCTTCGCGATGGCTGGGTTGCGAGGAGGCAGCGCTTCGCTGCCTCACGCGTCCCGCCTCCTCCTTAGCTAGCATGACTGCTTCGCAAAAGGAGGAGACGGCATCCCAGTCCCCCTCGCTCCGCATCATGGCCTGCACTAGGCCCGGACGCGAGAGGTCGCCATCGCCGATCACTTCCCTGAGGGCACGGCGGTGCTCAGCCCACGCAGGGCATTCCGCTACGGTGTGTTCCACCGTGTCCTCAGGGCGGTCCTCGCAGTGATGACACCCGGGCGTTTCCTCCCGCCCCATCAGACACAGGTACCTCCCGAAACTTCCGTGTCCGGTGAGGACCTGCGTCAGGCGGGTGTTTTAGTACATAAATAGTATATATTCAAAACTCGAAAACCCACTATCTGAGAGGATCTTTGAGTGATATTTACGTTTAAACTTTACAACAGTTATGTAGACACACAGATTATACATTAAATCTGTAAGAAATGGGGGAATTCTGTGGGATTTTTCGTAGTGTCGAAAATGTAAATTTTGTTTACAATTTTTTATCTGTAGTGTAGATGTCTCAACGAGTAAAATTACCATGATACGTATATCTATGTACATAATACTAAGACAGAGGTGAGGTGTCTGCTTGTGTACCTACTCGGAGTGTGTAAATATTCCTTATCTCGGTATTAAGAACTTCATAAATTATGTTTGTCACTCGCGAGAGAATCGCTGAGGAATTAGACATTTTACGTAACATTTACGCTACAATTGTAATAATTGAACACCTGCCACTTTCGTGCACCTACCTATCATAGGTTTTTCATGAAGGTGTTTCACAAATTGTGTAATTTGTTGATTAGAAGAAATTTAATGTGATACGGCAACGCAACGGCGACTTGCATCAAATAGCATGACTGCTATCGCCGAATAGTCGCTAAGTTACAGTTTAATTCTAATATTTGCTATATTTTCCACCAAACTTCACTTTTCCCCATCCAAACGAAGAGACAACGAATGAATAAATAAATATGAATAATAAAAGTAAATACAAGTTGCATTTCAAGTTCAAACAAATTGGTATTGTTACGCTATCATTACATTACCGGGTAAACAATAACAAAGCAAAGGTAACTAACCTTAAACTTTAAAACGGCAATTGAATTTTATTAGGGCTTGACAAGTATGTTATATGATGTAGATACAAGCCGGCTAGATATTATAATGTTTACAACATTATAAAAGCGACGATATTGGATGCACAGTACACCGTAAGGGGTCAAAAGACAACACACTGACATGTTTTGCTACACTACTCTAAAGTTTACAAGATAACTCTTTACAGTGTTCCAATGACAGAAAATTATAACTTAAATAAATTTCCGGTTAGGGAAGCAAACAAAAGGGGATGGCAGATAACTAGTAAGACAAACAGAAATGTGTTCCATCCATAGGCGATACAGCCGATGCGGCGTTTGATAGCAGGCGCTAACAACTACAGCAAACTCCAGAAGACGAACCACGAAAACCTGACCATTTTTTATCAATCCTTTTTTTGCATATCAAATGAATACGAACCTACTTTCTAAATACCTGTATGAATAATTGTATGTATATCAAATAGTCACGTCCTACTCTTGTAGATAAGTGGAACTGAAGGTCACCCTTAGTATCGCAATGTTTTCGTTTACTTCTATTGTTCTACTTTAAATGTTGTTGACATTAAAAATCCTCGTTTATAATATGCGCGGATAAAGAAGCGAATATTTATTAATTGAATACTGAAACTTTTGAATGATTTACAGCTTAATTGTCTTCAAAAATGAACTTTGAAATTATTAAATTTATGGTGCAAGTATTAAAGTAAATATCTGCATTATCATGGTAAGATTTAACCAAAAAATACTTGGTTGTTTGTGATGGACAAACAGTGCGGGCGGGCGCGCCGGAGGGCGGCGGCGAATACTGTTTAGTCAGCGGTTATCATGGACAAATAGGTGCATAGGCACTCAGATAGGCCAAGTGACAGATAAACCAGACCAACTTTACCGGCTTATATGCCAACGCAAGTTTATGCGAAAGTTAAATGACTTGTCTTCAGCCAAATGTTACACGAACAGGGTCTTAGGTAGGTATTCATATTATCTATTTGAAGCAATGAATAATAAACAAAACAATCGATGATAAAAACTGGATTCCATATAATCATAGATGTTATATCATAATCCTATATAGTATATCTAGTGAGCTTAACGATTAGAGTTTTTAACATTTTTGTATAGAAAAACCACGAAGTAACAGAGTGATTTTAACTCAATTGGTCCATATCACTTTAATGTAAGTAATTGCATAAATTTCTTGTTGTATTCCTATTTGACCTCCTTAGCAATAAAGTGGTCAAGTTTAACTGTAGATATGGCCAACGTAATCGGTCAATTCATCATTTATTTTCCCACACTAAATCACTGTAATATAACTCAATAATTGTACACTATAAAGGTATTTCAGAATGTGTTATAGTATATACAACTTATGACTATTACAATATAGGATTTATGATAAGACAAATCACTCATTTACTTCAAGATAAACCTGTATCGTTCGAAAACGTCACGAAGCGAAGAACTGGAAACGTGTTGGCGTAATTATAATTGTTTGATGATTCCTTTACAATTGTATTCTGACTTTTTGTCAATAGTAAACTACCTAGTCTGGGTTAAAAGTTCAGCAGAGTCATTGGTCCCATTCAGTCTACATCGTACAATCATAATACCTAATACTAGATAGTTTTATCGCATGTAATAAAACGTAACGGCCATATATCAGATATTGAGCAAAGTTCGAGACGGTGTGATTTCTTTTAAAGTTTTATTTTAAAAAAGGATGTTGTCTCTCCTGTTTTCGCGCACCTAACTATTATCCAATTTTTGCAAGTATAATATGATTACAAGATTAGTTATGTATATATTATCGTACATAAGCGATTGCTTGTCAAACACATGCCTACTCGGGTTTAATTGTGAAAGGAAAACTATTAATCGGGTAGTTATCAGCGTCGCTCGCGGCTTTGTCGGCCTGCCGAAATCCCGTTTTCAGTTAACACGCGATAATCGCAACTCAGCTCCGATAGCGGTGTCTTTGAACATGTTGACTCAAACGCTCGTCATATCGCGCGGTTACCTTCTTGTAAGCGCCTGTAATGCGTTTTTGATGGACGAGGGCGCGGCTATCGGCTATCACACCGATAAATACTTCTAAAAGAATCATTCTGATACTTCAGCTCGAGATGAGTGATGCGGCTTTGATTGCTCTTAAATCTGATTTCAGAGATTTGTCCAGATATTATCTATTGATGTACTTTCGCTGCTCATATACTCCGAGTAGATAAAAGCGGAAGAATTAAAGTCATCCCGTGAACCTGTCCCCGTGGAAACTATAATGTATGTATTTGCCTCGAAAAGGACGAATCAAAATCACTTCATTCCATATCATATTAATTTCCATATTAGACCGGTATCACAAATTATTAAAAGTTTCACAGTATTTCATGTTATGAAACATTGATCACCTTAGTTCTTTTTATTCAACATAAAAACAAAAAAAAACCCTAAACATTTCAAAATCAAAATCATTTATTTCAATTAGATCAGGCAGGTCTTTTAAAGGTCAAAAAAAAATATTGAAAAAAAAATTACATTAAAT